TATCCATGAAAAGTGTTGGAGATTTGTAAAAGTCATGCTGGTACTGCCTTGAGTTGTGAAAAATTATCTCTTGTAGAAAAAGTAGAAATATTCTCCTGTCAGGGACTCTGGTAACTGGGTTGTGTAAGTGAAGAGGTTCTCCAGTGAGAGCGCTACAATCTTCTGGCTTGAGTCCACTGGTTCAGGTCACGTTGTGAGCAATGTGGTGCACTATGGAGGTGCCCCCCGTGATAGTCTCTGCAAAAACTTTGTCCAGTGAGGACACTTAAGTTCTGTTACAGCAAGTCCATTTTCGGTCTGTAATGCAGGAGGAGTGGTGCTTTCTGGAATTAAAGTAAATAATTAAATTTAGATTGATGACCAGCAGACATTAAACATTTATACGTTTTTTTTTATTGTTAAAGTAAAGTATACTTTTAGTAAAAGTACACTTTTACTACTAAAAGTAGTTTTAATTTAAAAGTAACCCACACTACTCAGCTAAGTTGGTGAAGGCTAATTGCACCAGCAAGGCCAGCGTTGAGAACGTTTTCAGCTACGGAATGAAAAACAAAGCCATGGACTGGAGCAGGCCAAAGCTGTTTTACATAGGAAAAAAAGCAGTAAGTGTTGCAGGCTTCTAGTATGGGTTAGCTTTGGGGTCAGGTGGTTATGGTGATGGATTAACACATATACATTTAACCACTTGCCCTCCGGCAGATTTAACGCCCTTCCTGGCCAGGCCATTTTTGCTATACCGTACTGCGTTTCCTTAACTGATATTTGCATGGTCATGCAACACTATACCCAAATTAAATTTACATAATGTTTTCATGCAAATAGAGCTTTCTTTTGGTGGTATTTGATCACCACTGGGTTTATTTTTTGCAATATAAACAAACAAAACCCAAAAACTCACAATATTTTTTACTTTCTGCTATAAAACATCTCCAATAAAACCTTTTTAAATCAAATTTCTTCATAAATTTAGGCCAATATGTATTCTTCTACATATTTGAAAAAAAAACAAAAACCCAATAAGTGTCTATGGATTGGTTTGCATCTACAGACTATGGTATACAACTGGAAGTTTTATTTATTTATTTTATACTAGTAATGGTGGGGATCAGCGACTTATAGCGGGGCTGTGTTAGTACGGAGGTAATTCTGACACTTTGTAGGAACCAGTGACACGAATACAGTGATCAGTGCTAAATAATATACACTGACACTGGCTGGGTAAGGGTTAACATCTAGGGGCAATCAAAGGGGTTAACTATTTACCTACCAGTGATTACTCTGTGCCATTTTTACTAAGGTAAGAGTCATTTTTTATTCCCCGCTTTGCAGGGGGGAAAAAAAAAAAAAAGTCTCATCCCTGCTGACAAGACAGCGCTCTGTGTGTTTATATTCACAGCACTCTGTCCTATGCTCTGTTTTGCTGGTCAGTGGATCCTGGCCATCAATCATTGGCTGGGACCCACTGATTGGCTTGTGCTGTGCCCCTTACCAGGAAGAGCCAGATCATGTATCAGGTGCGTGCCCCGGCACAGGACAGCCAACTTGCTGCCATACTCCTACGTGAGATGGTCGGCAAGCAGTACACACACACACACACACACACACACACACACACACACACACACACGGATAACACTGTTACTTCGTTTGGTACTTACTAGAATTTAAAAGTTAACAGTACTGGGCAATTCCAATGGAGCCTATGAACTTCCTGTATAAAGCTCTCATGGCCCCATCTTTCCACCACCCCAGCCTTTATTGGTCATAATATGGGCAATCTAATTTTATAATATATACATAATTGTATGTACTGTGCAAAAGTTTTAGACAGGTGTGAAAACATGCTGTAAAGTCATATATTGGACCCGGGGGCCGGACCAAGAGTAGATGAATGATGTGTATGTGTCATCCATAGTAAGTATAGTAATATTCCCCCCATAGTAAGCATAGTAATTAATCCCCCATATAGTAATTCATCCCCCATAGTAATTCATCCCCCATATAGTAATTCATCCCCCATATAGTAATTCATCCCCCATAGTAATTCATCCCCCCATATAGTAATTCATCCCCCATATAGTAATTCATTCACTTACCTTTTTGCTCTGCGCGTTCCTCTCGCCGTGTTCCCGCGCCGTCCGGTCTTCAGGGCGGACTGTGAGAGGAGCCTAGCTCCCCTCACGTTCGTCACGCTGCCCCGCCTACACACATCCTGACAGCCATCCTGACAGTATCACACTCCACGGGCCGGATTAAAAGGTCCGCCGAGCCGTAGTTTGCCCATTGCTGGGTTATAGTCAGGTGCGTGATTTAACAATTATACCAAGCAAGTGCAAACCATCAATTTCATATGTAGGTTGAAACAGAATCATTAACTGAAACAGAAACAGCTGTCTAGAAGGCTTAAAACAGGGTGAGGAAAAGCCAAACTCTGCTATTAAGGTTGAAAACAGTTTCATGTCACAGGTCATACACCATGGCAAAACTGAGCACAGCAACAAGACAAAAAGGTAGTTATACTGCATCAGCAAGGTCTCTCACAGGCAATTATTTCAAAGCAAACTGGGGTTTCAAGGTGTGCTATTCAAGATCTTTTTAGAAAGCACAAAGAAAGATGCAGTGGCTGGCCAAGGAAACTTAATGCATCAGATGAAAGACACATCATGCTTACTTCCTTTCAACATCAGAAGATGTGCAGCAGTGCCAACGGCACTGAAGTCTGGACAGAAGTGGTCTTCATGGAAGAATTGGAGTCAAAAAGCCATACCTCTAATGTGGAAACAAGGCTAATTGACTGAACTATGCACAAAACCATAGGAACTGGGGTTCATAAAAATAGCAACAGGTGCTCTAAACTGAGGAGTCAAAATCTGAAATATTTGGCTGTAGCGGGGGCAGTTTGTTCGCCGAAGGTTTGGAGAGTGGCACAATAATGATTGTCTGCAGGCAATAGTGAAGCATGGTAGTTGGTCCTTGCAAGTTTGGGGCAGTATTTTTGCAAATGGAGATGGAGATTTGGTCAGGATCAATGGTGTCCTCAACGCTGAGAAATACAGGCAGATACTTATCCATCATGCCACACCATGGAGGGAGGCAAGAGTACCTAGATTTGATACAAAAGGGTGGCAACAACAAATATTGATTTGATCTGGATTTCTCTTTTGTTCATTTACGTTCCATTTTGTTAATTGATAAAAATAAACCATTAACACTTCTATTTGTAAAAGCATTCCTAATCTACAGCATTTTTCACACAGTGCCTAAAAAAATTTTGCTGTAATATAGGTATATATATATATATAATATACAGAGGCAGAAAATATATATCACAATATATATCAATATATATACTTATATATTTATATATACGCTATAACACACATATATATATACACACACACACATATATATACACACACACACATATATATACACACACACATATATATATATATACACATATATATATATATACACATATATATATATATACACATATATATATATAGTACACATATATATATATATATAACACACATATATATATATACACACATACAGGAATATATATACACACATATATATATATATATATATATATATATATATATATAACACATATATATATATACACACACACACACACACACATATATTATGTATATATATATATACTTAGTGTACACACAATACACACATACACAAAAACACACATACTGTATACATGCCATTATTATTTCACTCATGCTACAACTCCACTTGAAAGAGACCCTGCCAACAACTTTGAATAAAAAACAGAAAATGCTTGCTTGCAAAATTATTCCTTTCCAGTTTTTTTTTATTCACTAGCAAAATCCCTTTAAACTTGCTAGAAAATTTGACAAGTCAGTTTCTTAACAAAGCCCCTCCATCATTATACACCGTAGCCTTCTCCCCTTCTGAGGGATCCAACTGTTTTCTGCACTGTGCCCAGCTTCCCCACCCTTCCTCTGACTTCCCTTCATAATCTTCTATGGAGCAGCGAGGGAAGGGTTGAAGGGGAATACTAGGGTGTCACTTGAGTGACAACTCAGATGGCCAAGGCTGCTGACATCACCAGTCTCAGGACTTCGGGATGTCTACACATGGAGGCTTTGACATGTACAAAAATATGTTATAGGTACATATAATTCTATTGAAAGATTGCAGTTAAAAAAAAAGTTTAGTAACAGGATCTCCTGAAATTATCTCATCAGGGGTTTGAAAAATTCAAAGATCCCTGCAAAAGCAACTTTGTACTTACCTGTCCATCAGCCAGTTTGCAGAAACCTTTCTCAGTAGCATAGCTTGGAGCAACAATTCTATCCCTTTCTTCCATGTGCATGATAGAGGGGGTGTCCCCCAGGCCACTGTACTGCCTTCTAAACAAAGCCTACATCACTATTGTGTTCTGCAGTGACTAGGGGTCAACAGGAGGAACCCGCTATTCGATCAGCCCAACCAGTGGAACAAGACCAGCATCAGGCAATCTTCTGCAAAGCAAAGTTTCAGCAAATGGACAAGCAAGTGTCAAGTTTTTTTTTCATAGGGCACTGCAATTGTAAATTTTGCAACTCCTGACATGGTTGCTTTAATGGGCATAAGAGTAACACAATAAACTTTTCATATATAAGCTACAGATCTGACATGGTTATCCCAAGGCTTCTGAAAGGCTGCATAGTGCAATCCTTTGAAAGTGCAAGTTTTTTTCTGCATTCCTTGCAGTGGCAAAGTCACTATTAACTTTCAAAAGCGGAGAATAATTAATTACTCTACATGATAACCGAGATCACTAGCCCCAGGTTCAAACCTACTCATCTATGACATACTCTTTATATCTTACAAGATTTTTTAAAAGGGTATTTTTTTTTTTCTTTTTTTCCCCACAAACTTAGATTTTATTTTCAAACTTGTTTACCCATTTTAAAAGGTTGTCCCTGGGCTATAACAATACTATGTGTGTTGCTATAAAAAGTATAGAATTATAAATTAAATGTCAACATAAAAAAATATATCAAAACACAAAACATCAGATATACCTTAAATCTCCATCTTGTAACAACAACAAACTTAAGCGTGTGATCCTTGCCCAGAATTTCTTCATTGCATAAAATGTCCAACTAAAAAAATAAAAATACAATGATTAAACCCACCCAATGATTAAACCCACATGTTCCATATGAAAACCTGTCACTAATGAAATACCGATAAACTTGTTGGTACGCTTACACAAAAAAAGAACTGTCCAAAAAGCTTTAAAACTGACAAAAGTAGATGGCATTCATCATTTATTCCTTATTTATTAAAAACACGAAACACAAATTAAAGATTATATTAATAAATGAAAAATTGTCACGGAAAAAAATTATGGAACCCTTAACGTAATATTTTTCTGCACAACCTTTAAAAGCAAGTTATTTTGTAGCTCTCAAAGAGACTTCTGCGCTTGACAACAGGTAGTTTGGGGTTCTCTTCTGGAGCAAACTGCTGCAGCTTTCTAGTTTGAAGGGTGACTTCAACAAAGTTTATATTTCAGACCTTTCCATAGATGTTTGATAGGAATCAGTAAAGAAGACCATTTCAAACAAGGTTTTGTTCTTAACCATTTTTGAGTGCTTTAATGTTTAAGGGCATAATAAACTGGCCAAAAAAAGAAATCTGGGCCCCCTGTAGGTTTAATCCACAGTGTGCTAGTATGCACCGCACACCAGCACATTATGAAAAACGTAACTTTCAAATGAAGCCCTCCAGTGGCATGCGGTCACCGCTACCAGGGCTTCCATCTTTACCTGTCTTCCTTTAGGGTTTTGCGGGCTCTGGCTGTTTGAATTGCAGTGCAGGAGTGATGCAGCGCGTAGGACAGAAGCGTGGCAATGTCATTTCGGTACGGACAGCAGCACCCACCTTGGTACTCCCAACCTCATATACCCTGTACTATTCAATACAGTGATTGCTGTATATGCCATGAAGAGGAGCCTTCGCTTGTCTTACCATTGAGATCCATCCAGTCTGGGATCATCTACCTGTGTTTATGCTCTGTGACTCCTTGCAGGTCGCAGTTGGAAGGTGAGCACGCACTCTAAGCGGTGAAGGATTTCCCGTCTGTTTGGGCTCACCGAGTTTTCACGGCTTTGTGCTGAAGATGTACACACCATTTGTGTTTTTTGGGACTATTTGTTTTATGCCACAATTTTTCGCCATTGACATTATCACTGAACACTTGATGATTCTGTGTTCTTTTGCATTCACTATTTATCTTTGTTGCCACTTGTGACACTTGTGGTTTCCCATCTGTTGGGATAATTTTCTTTTTGCACGAGTCATTTGGTCTTATGCGGTTTGTTCACTCATTTTTTGATGGTTTTATACTGATTGTTCACCCACTTATGTATCAGTAGTGCAGCACTTTTTTATACATTATTTGCCTCTATGGGGATTGCTTACTCACTTTGAGGATAAGTAGCGAAGCACCATTTTTTTTCATGCCTTATTTCCTTGCTCAGCAGATATGCTTCTGCTGAGCTTTAAAAAAGCCCAACACTCCCCTTTCCTGACATGCACCCAATCGGTGCTCATTACACTGCAAGATCTCTCCCCTCCCCACTAGTGCCTGGGTGCAGTGCTGGAGACAGGCAGGGAGGTGATGAGCTTTTAAAAGCCCCAAACATTCCTAAAAGTACATCAGATTTAAATACGATTTTGAATAATTTTTTATTAGGACTAGTAGATTGTCATGAGGGACAAGTAGATTGGGCCCCCAATTTAGTCCCTTGGACATGTAGTTTTTAAAAAGATTTCCACATCCCTGGTATATAGAAGTTTGGCCATTTATAGGTCTTTCAGTCTATAACAGCAAGGATTCAAAGTCCATGGGTGATCTGACAAGCGCATCCTGTGACTGCAAGGAGTAAACATAATGGTATAATTGAGAATATTCAAGCCAAGCCGTAATAGGTAAACATTCATTTCTTTGAAAGCGTTATTTTTTTCATCTGTGAACATAGAGCTGATGTGACTTGCCAAAACACTCCGGTTTTGTCTCATCTGTCCAAATGACATCTTAGAAACATTTTGGCTATAAGCATTGCCACGGTGTGTTTTAGCAAAATCCCTCTTTCTACCATCTGGGATCAGTTTTTTCCCTTGAGGCCATACCAAGGCAGGTTGGCTACATCCACATGAACTTCCTAATATTTGCAACTGTAGTCACAGGAACATCAAGCTGCTTGGAGATGGTCTTATAACCTTCACTTTTGACATAAAACACTATAATCTTAGATAGATAGAAAAGTCACAGCAGAAAAACACCGAGTGGTCCATCGAGTCTGCTCGTTTTTGTTTTTTTTTTGGGGGAAGGTTGTTTCTTTTGAGTTTTTTGGGAAGGGGGGTTTTGGTAACTTTTTTGTCCACGTATAGATCTATGCTTGTCCAAAGCATGTTTGAAGCTATTTACTATTGACTGGCTCACTACCCCTGCTGGAAGTTTATTCTGATCTCTTCAGACAACTCTCTCCTTTACTTACTCTGGTCCAAGGTTAGTGTGATACCAAACAAACAAGTGGCCACTGACTGACAGTTTATAAAACTGAAGAGCTTTGATACCAATTACAAAAAAAAGTTTATTTTTACAATAAGCAATAGTTTCACCCTTCATATGTTTTACATTATGACATATCAAAGGTATCAGATACACGAGACAATTTCTTTTAATTTCACTCATCGGTCCATGTATGGGCAAGCTGATTGTACATAAGTCGATCCCAAACAATCAGTGCCGCTGGCTACACCCAGCAATACTGATCAATGTGTTCCAAGGAAAAGCCTCCCGACCGTCAGAACACAATAACATAGCAAGAGCAATTGAATGTGTGGATGGGGGAAATTGGCACTTTTTTTTCATTAAACCCACTGGTTGAATAAAGAAAAAAAAAAAAAACTTAATCTATGGTCTGCATAAGAGTAGTAGGTAGGGTGTTGTGATGTTTTCAGGAATCCATGTATAACAACCAGTTGGGTACAACCTACCAGCCATGATTTACCTGCATTTTCATGGAGAATCACAGAAACCCAGTGATGTCATCACTGGCTCTAAAACAAGGTATATAATGAAAATGGATTTTTTTTTTTAATTCAATTAGAATATTGACTGTAGGAGGGAACAATGGAAGGCAAAATATGCGGCTCCATGCAGACTGGGCATTTTAAGAACGCTGGTAGAGTCAGCTGTGTAAAGTCACGTAAAAAATGCAAGTTTTTCAGCGTTTTTGGATTAGCGCTTAGCCACATTTGCGGGTTTTTTTATTTATTTATTTTTACACACACACAAAAAAATTTTTGCTAAAAAAAAAAAAAAAGTCCATAAAACGCCGGTTTGCCACATTTTAACAGCTAAAAAAAAACTCTAGTTCTGTGTTTTTTTTTCCAGCCAAAAAATGCTGATTAAAGCCTATGTGTGCATGGACACATAGGATAACATGCTGGGGAGTTTACTGGCTGTAGAAAAAAAAAAAAAAAAAAACGCCAAATGCCAAAAACAGCCGCTGTAAAAACATCCAGTTGTGCATGAGGACTAAGAGAAAAAAGTAGAAAAAAAAAGGAAAGCAAGAAGAAAAACATTTACATAATAGTTCATGTGCTCTAATGCTAATATTTAATTAAACAAAACAATGATTTGAACTGTGAACAGAGTGTCTTGAAAAAGTATTCATACCCCTTGAAATATTCCACATGCTGTCATGTTACAGCCAGAAACGTAAATGTATTTTATTGGGATTTTATGTGAGAGACCAACACAGAGTGGCACATAATGGTGAGGTGGAAGAAAAAGGATAAATGGTTTTCAAAATGTTTTTCAAATAAATATGTGAAAAGTGTGGCGGCATTTGTATTCAGCCCCCCTGAGTCAATACTTTGCACATTTCGTTGCAATTACAGCTACAAGTCTTTTTAGGGATGTCTCTACCAGCTTTGCACATCTAGGAGTGGCATTTTTGCCTATTCTTTGTAAAATAGCTCAAGCTCTGTCAGATTGGATGGAGAGCGTCTGAACTGCAATTTTCAAGTCTTGCCACAGATTCTCAATTGGATTCAGGTCTGGACTTTGACTGGGCCATTCTAACACATGAATATGCTTTGATCTAAACCATTCCATTGTAGCTCTGGCTGTATGTTTAGGGTTGTTGTCCTGCTGGAAGGTGAACATCTGCCCCAGTCTCAAGGTTTTTGCAAACACTAATAAGTTTTCTTTTAAGATTGCCCTGTATGTGACTCCATCCATCTTCCCATCAACTCTGACCAGCTTCCCTGTCCCTGCTGAAGAAAAGCACCCCCACACAACATGATGCTGCCACCATGTTTCACGGTGGGAATGGTGTGTTTAGGGTGATGTGCAGTGTTGTGTTAGTTTTCAGCCAAACATAGCGTTTTGCTTTAAGGCCAAAAAGTTCCATTTTGGTCTCATCTGACCAGAGCACCTTCTTCCACATGTTTGCTGTGTCCCCCACATGGCTTCTCGCAAACTACAAATGGGACTTCTTATGGCTTTCTCCTTGCTACTCTTCCATAAAGGCCAGATTTGCGGACTGTACAACTAATAGTTGTCCTGTGGACATATACCTGAGCTGTAGATCTCAGCAGCTCCTCCAGAGTTACCATGGACCTCTTGACTGCTTTTCAGATTAACAAACCTTACCGGCCTATCAGTTTAGGTGGACGGCCAGGTCTTGGTAGGTTTGCAGTTGTACCATACTCTTTTCATTTTCGGATGATGGATGATAGAAGTGCTCCATGAGATGTTCAAAGCTTGGGATATTTTTTATAACCTAACCCTGCTTTAAACTTTCCCACAACTTTATCCCTGACCTATATGTTGTGTTCCTTGGCCCATGTGATGCTGTTTGTTCATTAAAGTTCTCTAACAAACCTCTGAGGCCTTCACAGAACAGCTGTATTTATACTGAGATTAAATAACACACAGGTGGATTCGATTTACGACATAGGTGAATTCTAAAGGCAATTGGTTCCACTAGATTTTAGTTAGGGGTATCAGAGTAAAGGAGGCTGAATACAAATGCACGCCGCACTTTTCAGACATTTATTTGTAAAAAAAAAAATTTGAAAACCATTTATCATTTTCCTTCCACTTCACAATTATGTGCCACTTTGTGCTGGTCTAGCACATAAAATCCCTATAAAATACACTTACGTTTTTGGTTGTAACATGACAAAATGTGGAAAATTTGAAGGGGTATGAATACTTTTTCAAGGCACTGTATATAAAAAAATATAAAACATGAAGACAAAAAAAAAAAAAAAAAAACACACGCATGCATGCTCTAACTTCCACTTCTGAATGCCTTACCTCATTGAATGACGACAAATTGAGTTTTTTGGCTATGAACTTTTTTAAATGCAAGACTGTTGCTTGAGCTGAACAGCGTATCCATTTTCGCTTGAGTCCACGCAACTTGCTGCTATTGCATTCTAAGCATATACTGACCTTCAGAGAGGAAAATAAAGCAGAGAAGACACACTACTTAATATAATACCTTTATAGCCGAGATTTAATGCTGTGCTACTTAGAAACAAGCAGAAGTTCACCTACTGGGCTTTAGAAAACAGATATCTCCTAAGATATCTTAAAGCAGATTTGTGCTCACAAGCTGTAGTTATTTAGTAAATTATCTCCAAGGTTAGAATCATTTAGAAAGAAAATGTCTGTCCACAGCTCTGATGCTACTGCAACCAAACCAAACTGCGTTCAAACAATGAAACAAATTAAATGTGTGGAAGAGAAGACTTGGTGGCATGGTACCAATGCAATAATGTCCAAAAGATACAAACTAGTCCTTTGTGCCACAATCAATGTCTCTAATAAATTACATCTTTACATGCCTCCAAGTAGCAGCTATATATAGAAAGCTGCTAAATGAAATGCACAGCATGAACAAATACATAGGTCACACAAATGTCAACCTGCATTGTGTTCCCCTCCAAACTCATTATACACAGGCCCTGCTTTCCATCCTAATAGCCATTATTAGATCACTTTTGTCAGTATAAACTGAATACATTGGCACAGAGATAAGGCAGAGCAAGCCTAGCGATTCTAAGATCTACTAACAATACCAATTTCTAGCTCTCAAGATTTCAGTACACAATATTTTCCTGCATAAGAAAATAAAGAATGCAATTGAGGCAAAACTATTACACTGCATACCTTTCTCTTCACTATTTTTACTCGGTGATGCTTCTAGGCAATATAGCTTCTACCTCTTACCAATCACAATTCCCAAAGTCACCATGGCCCAAGGGATAGAACCCTCTACCAAATGTTGCATATAACTCTTTAATAAAAGATCAGTGTTTCAATCCTATTGAATACACAACTACTCTGCACCTAGACATAACATTTAGAGAAATGACTAAGTCTACTATGTCTGTTCCTCTATAGCCCTCCACCCCTCTAGACCAGGGAAGACACAGCCTGGCCTTCAAGAGATAGGATTACCTGCTCATCACTTCTGTGATAGTCATGGTCGTCTTCTTGTTTTTCTTCTGTTGTCTCTTTATTTGAATTATCTTCTGGCTTTGTTTCACCTACAATTTAAAAGAATACTACATCATGCTAATCCAAAATGAAATAAGAGGTATTATATGTTTTTTGTACATTTTTGTAAGTTTTAGAAAGACAGCACTAGGGCTTAAAACAATTTAAAAACAAGCTGACCACTAGGGTCACCAAACATGGTAGAAACTTGGCACACAAGCTCATGACTGGTCAGCTTGGTTGCTTGAATAGCAAGCAACTAGAAGTCTGGGCTTTTTATGTCTGGCAAAAAAACATAAGTTTTGATTATGTATGCATTTGTTCTCATACATAAAGCTTTGCAATGCAACAATCTTACAGCAAAGTCACTGAAAACAATAGATGGTTTACATTAATCATTTCTATACAAATAGTCACATTATTCCATAGCAGATATAAAGAATGAGAAGGGCAGAGAGTATAGTTTTAATCCTCACCATTCCTAACCGCTTCTACATTCTGTTTAGCTGTACAAGTTTCCCCTTTGATATCACCAGGCACTTCCATTCCAAGCTTGTGATAAAATTCTCTTTGTTTTCGGATTTCGGCTAATATAAAAAAGATAAAAGCAAAAACCTAATGAATGTTCAAAAGGTGTGAGACCATAAAGGCAGAATATAATGCTACATACATTCATAAGTAAGAAGCAAACACATGGTGGCTAGGCTGCACAACATTTGACAAAAAAAAAGCTAAACATTTAAAAACACAGTTTAAACATAGTCAAGAGTCTTTATCTAAATAGTCTTGAAGGTCATCTATATTAATATCTGTTATGCTACCAGACTTTTCTTTCTGGACTACCCTATACTGCCCTTTTGGTCAGTCACACAGTCCTTCATTTTTACAGTATGCCCAACTGCCAACACCTTTCTAAAGCATTCATTTAGCGGAGTCAGTTATTCATTTAGGATGTGTAGTGTCATAGAGGAAGTAAACTCGAGATACTGTTCTCCATAAAAAGAAAGAATAATAACTAGTCACCAATATCATATTTGATCTCTGTGTAGCTGATCTTTCTCAATTACAGACTTATCCTGCCTTGTTCTGCATTGTGTCTATGTCACATTGATGGAGGCAGGGCTTTTGCCTCTTTTTGTAAGGACCTTCAGCAAGAAGAACATTGAGCAGCACAATAGCAAACCAAATCTCACTCCAAATCTCATGAGAATAGCAGTGTCAGAGGCAGCAGTGTCTTGGATTTCACACTGCAGATATATAGTTAAAAGTCAGTAGGCACAGGCGTGCCTAGGCAGATTCACATACCAAGAAAAGTGCAATTATTTTTTAAGAGGTATTCCAACCGAGGTTCATTTTTCAGCGTATTGCTTAGATACAATGAACATTTCTAAATGGGTCCTTATAACATAGGAAAATTGCGCTTTTTGACCTCAGTTCCAATTTAACCATAGGCTGCACAGAATACAAAAGTGACAGGGCATATTCTAATCATGTCTAATGTGCATGACCTTAGGAGGCTGCATTGTAGGTATCGGTAAATCATGGTTTCCCCTGATAGACAAACAATTTGCTTGTCTATTAGAGGGTTAGCCTCACCCAGTCACACCCAACTGCTCTCCTCCTGCAGGAAGAGAGACATGCTGGCAAATGAGAAGACTCTTGCAAGAGGATTGCTCCTACTGTCCAAGTCAATGCATAGTACAGCAGCAATAGGAAGTCACGTGACTGCTACTTTCTGCATTAAAAAGAGGAAGATAAAGAACTTGTTTAGAAGAAAACAATGAACTCATGAGCTTGCCTATAGTTAACATAAAATTGTAACATTTATTAAAAAAAAAAAAAAAAAAAAAAAAAAAAAAAAAAACTTTAAAGCACAGGTATAGCCAAAGAAAAGTCTTATAAGGGGCAATCTTCCCAGACACGTGTCACCAGTACAGGTGTCCCCATTAGAAGATATACCCCCTTTGTTTTGTTGATAAATTTTTGATTTCCCATCAATTTCTGTCTTAGTGACAATGATCAATGCAATGGGACACCGACAGCAATTAAAATTTGACAGGGGTACTATTCCTAATCTAGCTAAAAAAAATTGTTATACATACACTTTAAAATCGCAAGAACCTAAAAGTGATATACAATTGTATAAAACCATATCAAAAATAGAGATCTGTATCCAACTTAAGCTGCCTCTATCTCTAGATTTATAACAGGTTATCCTGTGAAAGATAGAGCCACAAAGCCCACACACATATACATGGTAACAAAAAGAAGCACCATGCCCAGACAGAGCAGCTTTGCTACATTCTCAAGAGAATGGTGCCAGCTGTATAATATAGGCAATGACAGCACAATACCCATTCCTCTCCATGCCCCTTCCTCCCCCCGCCTACTCTGGCTGTAAGTTTTTTTTTTTTTTTTTTATGGTGTTCCCCCACCTTTTATTGCAGCATAAACCTACCTTCTTGAAGACCTGGCACCAGTTTGTAAACAATATCTTGCATTGTTCGGTCGTGGCTAGGATATAAATAAAAAAAGAAAAAAGTCATAAATAATGGAATAGTATATAATACTATAAATATTTCTGCAAACTTCTTTTATTTAAACTTCTCATTTTGCACTGAATGTCCACTGAGGGTATAAAGACAGCTTATTTCCTTTAGTCTCTTATATCTAGTTATTCTTCAAACAAGCAGTGAATAGCCTAGGCCTATGAAGCAAAGACTATGCTTTTCATGTAATATGTAAGCCAGCAAAAAAGCAACTCTACAGATGGTGGGTGGTCTTAAAGCAGAACTAAAATCCCAAAATAGCTGAAAGGTAGAATTTCTTTGGCAAATAAGACATGCAAAGTCTCTTCTGCTAAAACATCTTCCTCTCACTTCTTTCAGTTTTAAATATACTGCCTGCAGTGGCCGCACAGTGCCATATGCACCCTTGGTTCCTTCCATGCATCTCTAAAGATACCCAAGAATGGAGCCTGGGATCACACAAGTCCAAGGCACATGCGTAAGAGTTATATCAGGGACTGACCCCAATGGTAGAGCCAGAAAACAAGGTGGAGTAGTGACATTGCATCTTTGATGCAGGTGCACTAAAGGGCAAGTGTGTCCAATTTTAATTATGCATACAGGGTACACACTCAATATGTTCCCATCTTCATTGTGTCTATTGTTAATTTACTCTCTTCCTTGAAGTGTAAAAAAAAAAAAAAAAAAATCAATGTACTATCAAAACAAAGCCTGTGTTTTACAAAAGTAGAATAGTACTGTATGGGCGACTTCTTTACAGACATGTTCTATATCAACTTCACTGGCATAGACTGCAAAATAGGATTCACTATACATGAACTGAGACTTGTAAAGTACTATCATGCAGCCATTTGGACAATGCTAAAAAGGGACATTGATGGAAGTAAAACGACTCCCTGTTCAGCAATGTGAAAACTCGTGTACACTGCCTGGCACATTCTAAGAAGCATCCAAAGAATGCTACTAGCCAGAACCCCTTGACCTCTGTTCAACCTATTGTGAATGGTACTGCGCTCTACTGAAGTGCTGACACATGCAGCATCCCTGCTGACAAACACATACTGTTCTACTGTAAATAATATAGTGAAGCAAAAATGATTTCAGATTCAGGGAGGAATCTGAAATGTATGGAAAACTTTATTAGATTATTAGACACGATGAAAAGTGGAATAATTTGTTGTTGTGCAGAAGCAAAAACACCAAAAATGTACAGCCCACTTTTATATGGTCATTAAAATGTTTAAGTCATGTTTAAGTCATGAAATCAGCATTAGAGTCTGGGCACAAGACATTAACAGAAAGGCTAAGATAATGGTAAAAAGATATCAATTCTATATAACAATTCTTATAGCTAATTATGCATCTAAAGCCCAACGTTTTATTCTGTTACAACAAATCTGACATTTTGAGTTATCACCAGAAAAGGAATAAAGACAGAATATCCTTCAATGGGAACACTTCACGTTATAACTGCCTAAGAGAGCATATCCCTAACTTTGGGGGATTTCCTCTCAAACTCTCTTGTGTCCATAGAACATGAATTGAAAGGAAGCTTCGAAATTGGATACAGATAGCAAAAACATTTAAAATTTTAGAACCTGAGTAACAGGTTAACTTTAAAAAGGATGAGATCACTAACTTATAAAAAACCCCCCGGACTTCCTCCAAAGCCCACCAATCTACGCTAATCTGAGCCATCCCTTTGGGTGCTTTCTTAAAGCGGTATTAAACCCCACTTTGCTACTTTTACCCACAGGTAAGTGTATAATAAAGCTTACCTGTAGGTGAAATGAATATCTGCTAAACGTGCCCTGTATAGGAGATTTATTCACATGCTGTGCAACTAAATGCGACCCACTCAACTGAATGGGGGTGCTCTGTGGTTAAAACAGGTAGTGAGGAAGCGATACGACTCCCCACCACCTATCAAATGCCCTGGCAAAAGCTAAATGAACGCTGTTCACTCTTTCGAGAGCAACACTAGTGTAAACTAGCTCTTACATAGCACATTTCTACATGCTTTGTGATATCAATTTATTACCTGCTGTTTAGTCAGTAACAGCAAATCACAGCTGCTACTGAAATTGTATGCTAAAAAGAGAATTTCTTACAAAATTAGATTCACATTGCAAAGTGGGCACTAAGTATAAAAGATAAGAATATAATGTACATAAATACTGGGCTTCCTGTGAACTACATAATACTTAGACTTAACTTTCTCCATGGGGTGAAACCTCATATACTTCATATGCCGTCATATACTATTTCACTGTATTCTATATGTGTTTTTAACTTTCACAAAAGGAGCCAACACAAAACACACCAAAAAATAGAGACAAACTGGACAATTAACAGATTGCGCAGTGATCCTTAATAAAAAGACAAGCTCACACGTTTCCATAAAGTTGTGAGGATTTTTTATTTTTGAATGAAGATCATTTATATTTTCACTTTTCTGTGTGCTTTAAAAAATGTCAGTGTCCAAGCCCAGTAATCTTTGCAGCTGCATAACATTACTTACATCTGTTTACTCAGATGGTGCACGAAAACAACTTTAATGTACAACTTGTAGAGCACAGACATTGACTATATTAATAGCAAATTACAATAACTATTACAGAGCTAACTGTTTACATTTACCTATTCCACTTACCCTATATACTGTAGAGGATGGCTCTGATGGATTACAATTCTGCATGTTGGACATGTGTTATTCTCTTCCAAATACTTCACCAAACAACTTCTGCAAACTGCAAAAAGAAAAAGTTTAATTTGTTTCTTTTAAATAAATAAAAGACGGAAAGCAGATACTTTTTTTCCCCCTTCTAAAATATTAATAAGCAGACAGCGTTTTTTTAATTTTTTTTTTATTATAACTATAAAAGGCTTGATGAAAAAAAAAGAAACTTCTCTAATTAAAATGTTCTTTCTTGGCTATTATGTGAATGTTTTACCAAAGACAGCTCTGCTTAAGATTTGAATTCAGCTGGCAAACAGTGCCATCTACTGGTCATTTGTAAGAATTCTTCATTACATATGAGAAGTAGGTAATGGAAACCATTTACTTTAGATTTAGTGCTTTAGATGCATTAGGAACAGCGGGGTGTATGTTTTTACTTTCGATAATATAAAGCTAAAACATGTAATACAAATAAAAGATTGTTAAATGTAACACTTTGAACATTTTATTTTTTTCCCTTCTTATATCATTCCAAGGTTCAGTAAAGTAATTGGAAAAGCGAAAGCAAAGTGCCCTTGCAAACAATCCATCAAAAGTTCTCTCTTCAACCGATCTGTCAAAGACAACTCTGCTTGTTATCAGCCTTTTTTTTTTATATAGAATTCCTATTCGTAAGAGTAAATCCTTAGCAGCAGTAACCCATATAAATGTAGTAGATAATGTCTTCTAATTGCGGAGTTACTGTACTTAAAAACAAAAATTTAGCACTAAAGGGAAACTTTCAGTTTTTAAGTAAGCTACTGTATATTTCATTTATTTTTTATAAGTTCCTTGTTTTATAGAGAAGTATTTAAACCAGTACACACTGATCAGTCTAATAAGAGATCCAACACTAGCCCACTGATTTCAGACTGAAAACCTAGACAGCAGATTTTTCACAATGTTGACGAGAGCCGTGGACATTAATGTACTTATGTGTCAAAGAAATGCATTTTGCATGCAAAAATGTTAGCAATATTTTTTAGTCATGCTTTGTGATGAAAGCAACAAAATTTTTTTTTTTTTTACAATAGTGTGGCCAAATAGCAACTGTTTATCAATTTTCTTAGTTAAACCACAACTGTGACTTTGTGTCCTTATTGTAACCTTAGAAGTGTTGCAGAACTTAGTGGCTAGAAGCAGGTTTTAGGTCCCTTGCACAAGGGGCTGTACAGATACAGTGCTTCCCTCCCAGTGTTTTGGGGTGCCCTAGAGGTACAGGTGCAGCATCCAGCCCTACTGTAGGCAGCCTGTCAAAATCTATGGTAGGTCGTGGCTGGAGGTTGATGAGTATTAAAACAAGTGGAACTGGCATTTAGGGCTGTGTGTGTGTTCATGGGCAAAGGTTTCTGTCACAGACTCCCTGCAGCGAGGCTGGACACTGCACCTGTTCCTTCCTGGGCACACTAGAATGTCAGGAAAGGCAAATTACTGATAGATAGCCCTGTGTGCAAGGGGTCTTAAACACATGCATATACTGTATGTTCATTTTCTTAATGGCTGATTTATTAAAGTGAAACTTTAGTCAGAAAATTAAGTCCTGAGTAATCACTTTAGCCTGGCCCCTTTTGCAGGTATAGCTACATTAAAAATAAGTACCTGTACTCTTTAGAATCCAGTAAGGCGCTGTCTCACCCTGCTCTGTACAACCTTAATTGTCTTGAATTCTCAACACTGTGCCGATAATCAGTGAATCATTAGAGGCTGATCAGCTGACAGCCTAAAGATTTACTGCTTCTAGGGGGGTGGAGGCACAGGAAGGAATTACACACAGATCAGGCAGAGAGAAAAGAAAGGCAGGGGAAGTGACAGGACAAACTCTGCTGCCAGAGAGACACCAAAGAGTTAAAACTTGCAAGGAAAAAAAGTGTTGTATCTAATCTCCCTGATATTTTCTACTTTCTCCCTCGGCAGCTACAGCCCTAAAAGAGCTTCAGCACTGTAAATCTTCTGTCAGCCTTCTTCTGTAGCTAAGCCAAGGCATACAATCAAGACTGGAAATGCACACATTTTAATTGCAGAAAGTGACATATCTTTTAAGACTAAGGGGGGGGGGGGGTGCTGAGTTTTCAATAAGGAACTGACTGTTCTGCCCGAACAGCATTTTGGGCTGAAAAGCCAAGGGGCAATGTGATACACATTTTAACACAGCTCTCCCTTTTTTTTTTTAATGAATTTTATTTGAAGTGTACTTCACTAATGTCACACTTCCTTTTTTGCAGTTAAGCACACCACCTCTAAATCCTAAACACAGATCAACCGTAGGGTTTTACCAACCCTCCCCCCAACACTAGTGTGCATGAGCCCGAATATATTTTGGTAAATTGCACTTACATCTACAACGTAAATATTTGTGTTACTTTATTTTTTATTGTTTTAGTGCTACACTTTTTTTTATAGAGATATACATATAATTGGCAAGGGTATATAAAAAACAAAAACAGAAATTTCTTGTTACATTAGTTAGGCAACATATGTTGTTTCATGTTACTGTTTAAAACATCAAAGTAATTCCTGCTTACCCACTTTTGGAAATGTTCTGTCATTTTATCATTTAGTCACATAGAACAGAAGTTTTACTGAATACTGTAGATACAGTACAACTCCAGGAAATTTTACATTATAGAGCAGAAAAGAGCTGGAACCTTAGTGAGTTTTTGACGATATCGGTGTCCCTGCCAGAGAGACTTTTGTTCACTTCTTATCCCACTGACCTTCTGAAAATGCTGGTTACTTAATTGCCATAGCTTTCAGTACTTTGACTCGTGGAAAGTAACGTCAGAACCCCTGATATGCCTGCTTATTCCAGGTCTATGGATTTAAAAAGTATTGCAGCTGCTGAATCAGCATGACAGCCAGGCAACTCTCAATTCTCTTTTTTATGAATGTTGAATTAAAGTGGTATTAAATCACAAAATAAAAAATATATTGCAGTTTACTAATCCTCAGACTATTTATTTATTTTAGACTTTTTTTCCTCCATTTTGACCAGGTGATCCAGCCACTTCCTGGTTTAGGGTGGCTACACTTCACTGGAGGCACCCCTATACATCAGCATTGTCGGTCCTTTATAAACAGTTACAGCAAACAGTTTTTTTTCCTTTTGGGATAAAGATTTTACACAAATAAACAAAAGCTGACCAGTATAGGCACTCCTGTCATTTTTAAATATGAATATAGTAATGTTAATGTTTGTCTGGACAGCTTGGTCTGTTAAAGAAAGTTGAAAAATGACAGAATTGCAGGCCGACTCACCAGGTGAAAATAAAGCAAAAAAAGCCTAAGGAAAACGAATGTAGCCATCACATCTAAGAATTGGCGAGATGCAATTTAACCACTTCAGCTGCCATGGTATAGCCATTTATTTTGTAATGCGCTGAGCAAACTGTTGGCGCTATACAAATCCTGTATAATAATAATACATCGCCAGGAAGACGTTATATCGGGATGATGCCTGCAGCAGTATTTTTTTTTTTAGCCGGCAATGCTCTTTAATGTAGAAGCTATCCTAGTGACTAATTAGCCACTGGTTTGCTTTTACAAATGGCAGAAGGGGGACCCCCCTTCTGTTGCCTTCTGGGGCTCTCCTGTCCCACCAGGGAGCACCAATTCCACCGGCAGACCATAGAGATGACTAAGGACCAGAATGTCCTCAATCATCTCTATGGTCTAAGAAACTGGAAGTGACAAGTATTTCTGTTTTTTTCCTGGATATACACAATCCACTATTGGCTTGTCAAAACATCAGATTAAACCGATCTAGGTTTGATCTGATGCATTGAAGGGCAGAGGAGAGATCTGGGGTCTAATAGAGTCACCACTCCAGCCATCTCAAGGAATGTTTATCCCTTCTTATAGCCATTAAAAAAAAAACTAAAAAAAATGAAATAAAAGAAAAAAATTATAAAAATTGCCCCCATCCCCCCGTGCAAAGGTGAATGCATACGTAGGTCATGCACGCATATGTAAACCGTGTTCGCACCACACATCCACACAAGAGGTATTACCACAAACATTATGCAAGAGCAATATTTCTAGCATCAAAACTCCTGTGTAACTCTACAATGGTAACCTTTAAAGCCTTTTAACGCATCGACTATGGATAATTTAATGTACTGTAGTTTGTCGCCATTCCACGAGTGTGCACAATTTTAATTCGTAACATGTTTGGTATCTATTTACTTGGCGTAACATCATCTTTTATATTTTACCAAACAAAAGAGTATCATAATATGCTTTTGTGCATTAAAATTCATTAGTGTAATATTGCCCAAAAAGTAAGTTTGAAAAACCATTGGGCAACTATTGTGTGATATAAAAAATTTAAACACTCTCCATTTTATTTTCTGTTTAAAAAAATATATATTGTTTGGGGGGTTTAAGTAATTTTCTAGAAAAAAAAAAAAAAAATGCTGATTTTCAGAATAGGCTGGGGGCTGAAGTGGTTAATTCTTTTATTCTCAGTAAGGTCACATACGATAAAAAACAACCTACAGAAATGAATTATCTGTTCCGTTTGTATAGTGCTTTTTTTTTTTTTTTTTTTTTTTGCATCCGATTTTGACTGTTTGGACAGAAAAAAAACCACAACGTCGAAATGTTTGCTCAATTTGCACAGTAATTGTATGGAAATAACTTGACAGGTACCCGCTCCCACTTTCAGTCCGATCACCTAGGCGATCAGAAACGGAAGGTGTCCTCCCTCCCTCCCTCCCTGTAGTCTTTTGGGACACGTGACAGGTCCCAGAAGACTACAGGACCATTCATGAAGCGCAGCGCTGCTCGCGCATGCGCAGTGGATACCAGGCTGTGAAACCGCAAGCTATCACAGCCAGGTGCCCACACTGAAGATGCCGGCCTCTTAGAATACAGGGACGGCCGGTGAAACGGGCTGCGGGGAACACACCGCTGGACCAAGGGACAGGTAAGTGGCTGTTTTTTGAAAGTCAGCAGCTACAGAGAGGAGTCATCACTGAGTATGACTAGCAAAAAGCAGAACCTGTATTTACAATAAGCAAATATGGCTGCCCC